GTCACACACACCGTTGGTAAACATTCATTCAACTGCACCCTTTTCAGCAGTGGGCGCTGGCAGGACGCTGGTCCCTCAGAGGAGACAGAAACTGCGCTGTGTGATAAGGGCTTTTGTGAGCGCATTAAAATGTTTGTGATTTAAATAGAGTTTTAATGTCAGGAAATCTCTAGGTGTCAGAGGCCCCAAGGGGTCTGCTGAGTGCTATGAGGTGGGGAACCCCCCCAAAATGGCTGGCATGAGGGACGCATGTTCTTTCTTGAGACATCAGAGCAAGGCCACATGAGCTCCATTTCCCAGGCCCAGACCAGACATCAGCCCCCACCTGGAGGGAACTTTGGGAAGGACCTGCCATCTCGGAGCTACCTGAGCTTTGGTTCTCTCCCTCTCCTGGACACGGAGTTGTTTTCCTTTTCAACAGCAGGTGTGCAGTTCAGGGACCACAGTTTGCATCCCCACTGCCTGCCTCTCCACACCCTCTCTGAGCCTTTCCAGAGAACAGCCCGCATCCTACGAATGACCTGAGGATCATGTCTCAGGAAAAGGGGCTGTAGTCTCCAGCTTCAGAACATCCAGTAACAAAAGAGTAAAGAGGAGCTTACGTCCTAGGACGCAGGCACCGTGCAGGCTCGCAGGAAGCTCCGCACTGCGCGGGATGCCTGAGCACCGTTCCTGTTTCCATCTTCACCGTGCATCTAGGGAGTCTCCCCTGCCTCTCTCGGCCACTCACTGGGCCTGAAAGGCTGGACCTGGGGAGGGAGGCTGTAACAGCACGGGCGGTAACAAGAGCGGATTTGGGGCTATTTCCTATCCCAGTGCTTTTCAAACCTGAGTGAGCATCAGAATCACCTGGAGGGCTGGTAAAAGCTCAGACTGCTGGCCCCTATCCCCTGAGTTTCTGATTCAGAGGTGGTGGTGGGTGGGGCCCAAGAACTGGCATTTCTCACTCATTCCCAGGTGCTGCTGACCCTGCTGGTCCGGGCAGCACACTTGGGGGACCACCATCCTGGATGCAAGGACCCATTGGGCTTGACCGAGTCTACCTGTCGAGCCAGCCAGGCCCTGGAGATAAAGCAGCAATAGCAGAAATCGTGCTGTCAGTGGTGATTCTAGGTGGCAGTGGGGATGGACGTGAAATGAAGCAGCTCACATTGTACCTTATGAAACGTGCTATAACGGGAGGGAAAGGGGAGCGGTAGGAGAGAAGGGGTGGGGCGGACTGGCCTCCAGACACCGCGGTCACCTGTCTTCTCTCGACATTTGGGCTGCGGCCTGAAGGCAAAGGAGAAGGCAGCCAGGCAGGCAGACATTGGAGGCAGACCTTTCTGGGCCTGAGATGGAAAGGACACATATCTGAGAACTGAGAAGAGCGGCTGGACCCCATGAGCCTGGAAGGTCACAGTCGGGAGCTGCGATGTCATCTCACCAGCCATGGGCACACGCCGACTTCCTCGCTGCCGCAGCCGCACTGTGTTCCTGCTCGGCCTCCGCTTCAGAGCGGGAGACTTGGTTGTAGCGGCTGGCTAGGGACGCCAGATTCTTCGGAAGAAAATTTAGGCTGGCATCAAAGAGTCCTTCAGGAACAGATGCATGGACAAACAATATGCGGCGTGTCCATGCAGTGGAGTATCACTCAGCCACTAAAAGGAATGAAATTCTGACATGTGCTATGACATGGGTGAACCTTGAAAACATGCTAATTGAGAAAAGGCAGACACAAAAGGCCACACAGCGTATAATTCCATTTAGAGGAAACGTCCGAACAGGCAAATCCAGAGATGGAAAGATTAGTACTCGTGGGGCGGGGGGGGGGGGGAGACGGGAAGCTGGGAGGACAGGAAGTGACTTTCAGAGGTGTGGGGTTTCTTTCGGGGGCTGACGGAAATGGACTGGCATCAAATCACGGTAACAGCTGTGCAGCCACGTGAATATCCTCCAAACTAGTGAAAGTGTACACTTCTGAAGGGGGAATTTTATTTATTTATTTA